TTTACACACAGGGAAGAACTAAAGCAGCAGGTACCTATGGGAAGCGGCACTCAAAGCAATGCTGGGATAATACGTACTGTCCCCATATAGCGTGATCTGTGTCACGAGAAGCCTCTCACCAAGGACGTTCTCAGGAAAGTATCACCATTACAAGCTCTGGGACAAATATAAGGAGTAACAGGAAAAGTTACACAAAGCAGGCACGGATGAAGGTGGCTACAGCAGTGAAATGTACCTCAACAAGCTACAAAATGCCTTCAACTCTCCCTGTAGTTATTTCTCATAAAAAAAAAATTAAAAATTAAAAAACCTAAGGCTTAATTTGAGCTCTGAAAATTTATAACCTCATTAAAGAGAAACTAGTTTTCTCTTAAATACCATGTAAGTCAACAGAACTGGATTTGGCTCCGCAAGCTTACAGCCCCAGCAATTAGTTGAAGGGATCTTGAGTAAGACCGCAGGACCCTTCTAACAAAGTTACCTTCAGTTTAAAAAAAAAAAAAAAGACTGCTTCTAGCACCAGCATAAACCAAAGAGTAAGTCTAAGATGAACCAGACGCATTAATTCTGTTTGGAGTGGCCTAATTACATTCCCTGCTTTTGCCATCTGCCATTCGAGGATAGCGGTTCCCACTCCCTGGGCTGGGCAGCAGCACGTCACTGCCTGCCTGGCCACCTCTGGAAGCGGCCGGTGCTGTCAGAGGTCCCCTGCTGAGCACCCCACCAAGGGTCTCCATTTCTGCTGTTCTCACTTTTGACCCTCAACCACCTTTTCCTCTTTTTATTTGATTCATTGCCCTTTCTCATTCTTTGTTTTTTCTGGAAATCCTTTTCCTACAGAGGCTCTTCAGGCTTGGTTAAGGAGAGCTGGTAGAAGTGATGAAAGGGGAGGAGAAAGTTTCTGAAGAAAGTAAGGAGCAAAAGTCATCCCCATACAACTGACCACAGGTCAGTGGTCTCCACCACACTCTTATATCATCTATAATTAACACTAAATATATTTGATTGATTTATTTGGTCCAAATAAGGTATGGCTTAAAATCCACGTGCATAAGACAACCCAACAGACCACCACTGAAGAGCTCATCCAACACACCACAGAACTGCTCCCAAAATTGTCAATGTAGACAAAAACCAAGCAAGTGGACAGTCGGGGATTCCCTCTGCTGTCAGCAAAAGGAAGGACGGGTCAGGCCCTTTCAGTCACACCTGGAAGTCCTGTATGCCTTCTCCTGTGCCCAGTCACACAGGCTCAGCTCGCCTCCTTGAGATTACGAGAGGCAGGACTCAGACAAAGCAGCCCTTAATAAATACCAGATCACAAAACCTCCAAACCTCACTCAACACAACCAATTGCGCTCGCTGCCGTTTGCCAGGACCTGCTGACAAGGCCAGGGAATAAAAGCGCTCCATCAAACGCTTCGCTCCAAACCACCCCATTCAGTTGCAGCTTTTCCTGTGACATTTCCTCGGCAGGATCCAGTCTTTAATTCCCCTTCGGGAAAACAGCAAGAGGAATAAGGATATATGTGCTTGTTCCGCAGGGGAAGAGGGAAGGAACAGTTGGGAGAGTTTGGCTGCCGGTCAGTAGTGGCACGTTGGACGGAGACAGGACATGGCTTGGGCTATCTGGGTAAGATTTCAAGAGGAGAGGACAGCGAGCATGTTCCAGCATGAACTTAGCCCCTGAGGGACTGTCTGGGTGGCAAGGAGCCCAGAACCACCACCCATCCTGGCCCTGTTTTCCATTACCTCAGCCCACACACACTCCCTCCCACCCTCCTGCCAGCCACGCTCAAGTTGTTCCTCTCCGAAGGCTGCAACGATTGCTGAGCACAGGCAAAGCAACAGAGCCCCGCACCCACCATATCACACCGTTTTGGCTAGCCGGTTTGATTCACAGGAGCAAACAGAACCCCAAGACAGACCCTAAGGTGGCCACAAGCACTTTCCTTAAACACCTCAAGAAGTAAGACACAGACCAAGACCTCCTGAAGCTGGAAAAGGCTGTTTTACTGCAGGACAGTATCTATTTTCACCTCCTCTGACATCAGGTGTCCAGAAACACCAGAGATGTGGACGCCTATTGAACAGCTGTACCTGCAGGCAGCACTGGGCAGCAGAGGACCTGCCCGATTCCCACACCCACTCAGACCTGTGGCCTTCCCCTTGTCCTCTGCTGGGGACCACCACCCAGTACCTGCTCATCCTAAGGAACGAAATGCTTCGGGGAGGAAACCAAGCATGGGAAAAGCACGGAACAGAAGGGTCCTGCAAGAGGAAAGGCAGCAGGGGGAGAGATTCCATGGAGAAAGGAGGGGTCAAGGGACAGCCACCTGGAGAGGCGTTTTACCATCCCGTAAAGGGAAGGAGAGTTGTTTTCCCATGGTAGAGTGAGAAACCCTGTTTGCATCAATGCACTTGATTACATACCTCCATGCTCTCAAATAAGCCATCCTCAAGGACCAGGATCACACAGGATAACCCTCAACGTTGCCATCAAAACACTACACTTCATTGCAATCGTGTCAGTATTACCATGGTAAAAACATGTTTCATCTCTGCAGAAAGTCAAGAACAGTACTTCAATAACCCACATCTGGCATGTGGGATCTTCTCTTCAACACCTGTTTTCACATCTGAGTTTAAACCTAAGATTTTTTGAATGCAACCTTTAAGACTGTGTTTAAAGAACTTCAAGTGGAAGAACTGGCAGCTGCATGTGAATATCCTGGAGGATATACGGGTGTGCAGCCCAGCAGCCCCACAGAGCCATCGGATGGGCAGTCCCAACAGGAGCAGAGTGTTTGGGGCAGGATGGGGCGAGCTCTGCTCCCAGGAGGGAAGATGGGCGGATGGCCACGGGGCCAGAAGGGCAGCCCACAGCCACACTGACCCCTGCCCACCCCCAGAGCTTCAAGAATGCAAAACCAGCAGAAAAGAGTGAGCAAGCAAACCGGGGCCATGTAAAGTTACCCTTTTTATGCCCATGATGCAGATGCCTTGTGACGCTTTACGGCAGCCTGACAGATTTGACTGACATTACACCTTGGCTGTGCACAGGAATATGTTTTTCCATCCTCCCCCTGCACGGCTGCACCCCACAGCCCTGCTTCCAAAAGGGACCCGTAGACAGACAACACCCCGGCTTTTCTTAAACATTTAATACTCTGCATATTTTATTGGCTGGATAGCCTCTTACTGAAATTACTGTACAATTTTCACTTGTTTCAGCCAAAATTGAGGGCAATTTTGCTTAAATAAGCCTGTCTGTGCCATTAACTCTTTCACCAGGGAAATTTGCTCTCACTTGTGCATATGACATCATCTGTTGACATAACCCCACCGAAACAGGCATTTCAAACACCTATGCTCTGCCATTTCACATGCTGCAATTATACTTGAGCTTAAATGAATTTTTGACACCAGACTTGCACTGTGTTTCGCTTTTCTACCATGCGCTTTGCTTGGCTTTGTTTTTCCAAAAACAAATACTTGCTTCTGAAGACTTGCATTGGTCTCCCATCATGCCCAGAATCTCAACTATAGAAACTTAAGGTTTTTACAATAGCAAACCTTAAAAAAAAAAAATTTCTAGTGAATTTTGTAAAACAAACTAAACATTCTGCTTCTAGAAAAATTTGGAAAAAAAAATTTCAGTAAAATAAAGAGACCCCGTGCCCCAATTGGCGCATGGTTTTTACCATGTCTTGCGATGGTAACTGCTGTAGGACCCCAACTGCGAGAGTCCTTCAAGTGGGGAAAAAGCCTCAACCTGGTAAAGCCTGCTTTAACTCCCTTCTGTTCTCAAGATTTTCTGCTGGGAAAAGTAGAAAACAGTTGCATTAATTCTCACACATAGTAATGATTAAATCAGTTTAATAGTTACAACTGTTTAAATGTTTAAGTATTCTTTCTGTCTTCACACCATTACTGCAGTTACTACACAGATACAGCATTCAAAGCAATACAGCATTTAGACAAGAGCATTGAGGAAAAGTTCAGTGCCAGGCATGATATCCACATTTCCCTTCCCCTTCACCTGAAAGGGCCCTTACACCTTTGCATTTCTACTTTATATGACAACCAAGAATGGCCCCAAAATTTGTTTTGACTCAGCCTCTCAGTATCATTGATAGGCAATAATCAGAACAGACCCAGCGGTAGGAGTACCTGCCCACCTGAGCTTTTGGGATTTGCTGGAGATTAGCTCCTCATCATTCCCAGGAATACATCCACTGGCATTGATCTCCCTCAGTGAGCTCTCGGCACACCCTACAGCATCCACGTGAATTCTCTTCTCCACAAAACCCTCACAGGAGTCATTACGTGAGACAACCTCAGAGACTGCAGCCCCTCAGAAGGAAGAGCACAGCCAGCAATTCCCAAATCAGAACTATTACATTTTACAAGCGGAGTCACAAGCCCTACAAACTCAGTTGTTAGAAACCATAAACCAAAGAGCGATGAAGCAGGTCAGAAATCGAGATGCAGCAAAGGCTGTTTTAGGCAATTATATAATTAGTGGTCACTTCCAGACAAGAATAAAGTCCCGCTTACCACTTAAGTCTTCTCACCAGTCATCTGCTCCATAGCTGTAAAGCTCGTGGAATTGGACTAAAGTTGACAACACAAACGAGGCTATCTGATGTGTATTTGGTTAAAAGAAGTAGCTAAAATACTTAGTAGTAGTTCCTGTGAGAACTCTGAAGCCCTATTATCTTCTGGGTTCAGTTCTGCAGACTACCCCCAACTCATAAAAAAAAGAAACGATAGTACTTTATTAAAATACTAAATTTTATTTTTTCCACGTACATTTAGTCTCCCCACCATTTCCATTTGTCTGACCACCACCACCACCATGCCTTATCAAAACATTCCATACATACTTAAAATGAAGCTGAGGGTGGAGTCCCGTCTTTAAAAACTAAACAGGCATTTTGGACAACACATTCTTGGCAAGGTAATCTGGATGACATTTATCAAA